CCAAGGTACATGCCCTTGACCGGAATCGAACCCGGGACCCCTGAGTCCGCAGGCCGATGCTCTATCCACTGAGCCAAACCGGTTTCGGCTGATGACTTAATTCTTGAGGCAGTGTGAATGCCCCTGGCTGACTAGGGGGAGGGCCACATACAAGGAAAGGTGAGGGGGAGTACAAATATTAGTATTTCAAGATGTTTTCCTCCTATACCCATCACCCAATAATTGTAAAGACATTGGGAGAGGGTCTCTAGTTGTGTGTGAAGAGTTCCCAGAACTCAGGCTGGGGTGGAGGAGACAGCAGGAAGGCCTCTGCAGTGTGGGTGCTACTGAGCCGCACCTTGAAGGGATGGGTCAGAATTCCCAGGGAAACAGTGGTCTCGGAGAGCATCCCAGACCGCATCAACGGGACTGACAGAACATGGATGATGGAGGAGGAGCTAACCGCGTGCCACCCCCTGTTTTGGTAAGGACTGAAACAATATTAATTTAATCATCACAACAACCCCTTGAGCACCAAATTTTTAAAAATATGAGAGGCACGGAGTGGGTACGTTCTTGGCCCAAGAGCTCAGATCTGGCAAGTGGGATTCAAGCCTGAAAAGTGTGGCTCCAGAAGCTCTATAACCCACACTGTTCTGTCTCGGGATTTGAAAGTAGCTCTGTGTGGCCGGTAGGGGTTTCGGCTGAAGGAGTGAACAGAAAGACCAGAGAGGACCTTGTGCGCCATCTCAGGGGCTCAGAGTTTATCCTGAGAGTAAAGGGAGATCAGTAAAAACTTAACCAAGAGAGAGACAAAGAAGATGCAATTAGAAAGATAATGGATTGGAGGGGCAGGACCAGAAGCGGAGACCAATTAGGAGGTTGTTTAACAGAGACAGTGTGACTCTCTAAGCAGTGACAGTTGGCACAGATGGGTTCCAGGAGTGCTAAGTGGGTAGGATGGTGTGAAGATACCCACATCCTAATGACTGGAATCTGCAAATGTCACCTTACGTGGCAAAAAGGGACTTGCCGATGAGATTAAGGATCAGGAGATGGGGAGATTACCATGGGGTATCTGGGAGGGCCCTATGTAAATCACAAGGGTCCTTATAAGAGGATGATAGATCAGAGTAGTAGGAAGAAGGCAACGTGACGATGGGAGCAGAGAGGGAAGTGATGCAGCTGTAAGCCCATCGGCAGCCCTTAGAAGCTGAGACAAGGCATGGATTTCCCCTAGAGACTCCAGGAGGAACCAGCCTTTCCGACACCTTGATTTTAGCCCCATAAAATTCATTTCAGACTTCTGACTCCACAACTGTCAGATAACAATCTTGTGTTGTGTTAAGCCAGAAGTTTGTAGCTATTTATTATATCAGCAACGGGAAACACATTTAGGGTGGGGCAAATCTAGGTTTACCATTGTGAGTATACAGACACTTATTCTTGCATTATTCTTTATTAATTATTGTATTATTTCCATGCAAACAACTGTAAACCACTTACCACCCTGTACAGATGGTAAGACCTGCTGACCAGGTAGTTATGGAAAAAGGAAAGGAAGGGGCCAACAGGAAGGATCGAGGATGACAGCCAGGATTTTGACTTGTTTGATGGGACTGGGAGTGAAATCATGATAATCAGGATTGGGAATAGTGAGGAGGGGACAGTTTGGGGAGTAGTGGGAGGGCAATGTGTTCAGTCTTGCATATAGCGAGTTTGAAATGCCCCTGGGACACCCAGCTGTCCAGGGAGGTCTTGAGTCTGGGATGGAGCTTGGGCGCCATCTGCGTGCACAGGTTTGGTCTGAAAGTTGGCAGACCCTGTGGCCAGAGACAGAGGTTTCCTTTCCCAGCTCACACTCTGGGATGTGGGCTCCAAAGTCTCCCCCGGATGGCAGCTATTGAGCATTTCGCCCCAGTCCTGGAGCTGCCCTCAGACCCCTCTTTGGACTGGGTGGCAGCCTTGCTCCAGATGGCAGCCTCCAAACTGACTCTCCCAAGGAGGTGCCCAGGATGTCACCTCCAGTGGCACGGGGAGCCTCGCACCTGCCAGGGCCTTGCAGGGCAGCTCACAAGGCAAAGGTCCAAGTAGACCCGCTATTCCAGGTGAGCTCCGTTAGCTCCTGAAGGGCCACCTGTCCCACTGGTCCATTTGAAGATGCAGCTTAGTGTATAAGCCACTCTAACTCCAGCTACACCTGTGGGCAGCACCAAGCTGTGACCGTGACCGAAATAGCTCAGGGAGTTTCCCATGGTTAAACTAAACAGAATACAAAGTGTATGGGGTAAAGTCACATATCATTGAAAAAGCAAAGTCTGCTCATCCTGCAGAACAGGTGGGAGCAAAGGCCTGAGAGCAGGTGAGGTCATTCGAGGAGACTGTGGCCGAGGAGAGGAGACCCAGGGGAACCAACTGCTGAGGGTGGGCCAAAGAACGGAAGGGGGAACCCAGGGCTGACTTAGAGGGGGAACTCAAAGGATTCTTGATGAATAGATCCTTTTGCATTTTATCTTCTGTAGAATATAGAAAGGAAAGAGACTGTGGAAAAATATGTGTATCAATTTAAAAAAAGATATGTTTATTATCCAACTAACTCAATTACGTGTGAAACTGGATTCTACTTAGAAAGGGTTTAAAAAGTAAATAGTATGAATATAATGTTACCCTAGGAAAATGATGGTCTTATCAGTGAATAAAACAAATGCAAATTCAAATACCTTAAAGTAACACTATAGGCCCTGGCTGGGTAGCTCAACTGGGTGGTGTCGCCAAGGTTGAGGGTTCGATCTGCAGTCAGGGCACATACAAGAATCAACCGATGAATGCATAAACAAGGGGAACAACAAATTGATGTTTCTCTCTGTCTCTCCCTCTCTCTTAAAATCAATAAATAAAGAGCGAGGAGCGAGCGAGCAGGGCAGGTCGGCGGCAGCGGCGCAGCAATGCCTAAATCAAAGGAACTTGTTTCTTCAAGCTCTTCTGGCAGCGATTCTGACAGTGAAGTTGACAAAAAGTTAAAGAGGAAAAAGCAAGTTGCTTCAGAAAAGCCTGTAAAGAAGCAAAAGACCGGTGAGACTTCAAGAGCCCTGTCGTCTTCTAAACAGAGCAGCAGCAGCAGGGATGACAACATGTTCCAGATTGGGAAAATGAGGTACGTCAGCGTACGGGACTTTAAAGGAAAAGTCCTAATTGATATTAGAGAATATTGGATGGATCAAGAAGGTGAAATGAAACCAGGAAGAAAAGGTATTTCCTTAAACCCTGAGCAATGGAGCCAGCTGAAGGAACAGATTTCTGACATTGACGATGCAGTGAGAAAACTAAAATCTGAGCCATATAAACCTGTACTGTCCTAGTTGTTTTAACCTGTCTTTTTACATTGGCTTTGTTTTTTAAATGTTGTTTTGCAGGCTATTGTATATTT